GTCACGCAGGCTGGAGTACAGTGGCACAATCTTGGCTCACTGCCACCTCTGCCTCCCGGGTTCAAGCAATTCTCCTGCCTCAGCCTCCCAAGTAGCTGGGATTACAGGTGCCCACCACCACGGCTGGCTAATTTTTGTATTTTTAGTAGAGACAGGGTTCCACCATATTGGCCAGGCTGGTCTTAAACTCCTAACCTTGTGATCCACCCGCCTCGGCTTCCCAAAGTGCTGGGATTACGGGCGTGAACCACCGCGCCCGGCTCTTGAGATTGTTTTTATCTTGACCCACAGTGTGAGATGCGTTTCACATCCCAATCCAGTACAAGTATCCATATAGAAATGATGCAAAAATCTCATGAACCAATACTTACCTCACTACATGCAATGAACTCAAATATTTTATTCTTTTTTTTTTTTACAATGTTGGTTGCAATCCTTTAAACTGATTTTTTGACTCACTAATGTACTTCAGTCCACAAAAATCACTGTATCTAGGAAAACTCTTCCACACAGTCAAGTAAATGAGCAAGACTGTTTATTGCAGCATTGTTCATAATAGTGAAAAACTAGAAATACCTACATTGCCATCAGTATAGGAAAACGGTGAAATAAAATGTAGTAACATTACACAACAAAATACTCATGTAAGAGAGAGAAACTCATTCCATATGTATCAACATGACTAGATTTCAACAATACTTGGTTAGTGAAAAAAATTGTTTTCAGTAGTACACACAATATAACACTATTTATATTAAATCTCTCTCATACACACATGCATGCAAAATAATGCTTAGATTTATAGATATGTAAGAGGTTTGCAAAGAAAAAGAGAGAGAGGATTAGGGAGGTGGCCAAAAGGATACGTATTTTAGCTTTAACTGATGTTTTAGTTTCTAGAAGGAAAATATTTGTGTACTGCTTGCATAACTAAAAATACAAATAAATGTGTAGATGAATACATGTGCACAAGAATACAACATGTATTTGAGAATGCTTGAAGGTATAAATACATGAAAGCATGCAAGAATTTATGTAGGAATGTTTAAACACAAGACAAAGTACATGGAAAATCATGAATGAGTCTAAGTATTCATAAATGGGTTCATACATTAAAAAAATGCTAGCATGAACAAACTAATCACAAATACAATAGCATGTGTCTGTGTGTAAGATGAGAAAATGAATTTATACATGAATATAACTTATGGATGAATGATTCCATTAGTGTATACATGGAAGAATGCAGCAATGTCTAAGTGTTTGAACACTTCAGTGCATGACTGCATAAATGCATGAGTTAATGTCCTGAATTAATGAGTATACAGAAGAATGCACCAATGTCTAAATGCTTGAACATGTCAATGCATGAATGCATACATTCATGAAGTAATGCATAATGATCAAAAAGGGGGGCTGTGCAGAGAACAAACGAGGCATGTAAATTTCACTTGGCACTGTAGAAAACAGAGGGTAAACTATAACAATAAATCTTCATTATCTATATGCTGGAAACCCAGAAAGGCTGCAGGAATATTGGCCAATGAGAGCTAGTCAGGAAGGTGGATTTCCATCAACATTCTCCCAAGGCTTGACATTACTAAAGGAAGGGGAGTTCTGATGGTGAGCCAGGAGTCAGTGGGAGTGTGGGGCACTTGAAGGAAGGCAAGAGTATCTATTGTAGGAGAGAGGCACAGAAAAGAAAACACCACCTCCAGAAGCTCCACCATGCCTGTGCCCTGGCCTGGAGGGTGGCGAAGAGGACAAGCTGATCCCATAAGTGGCAGGGCCAGCATGGTAGCAGCCAGGCTTCAGGATCCTGAAGAAGAGTCCAGGTGCCATTTATTTTACCATGGCTTAGATTTCTAAACCACCCCTTACACTTTCAACCGATCCTAATCTGAATGATCTTCAGTAAAGACTTAAGTCATAGATATTCACCTACATAAATAATAAATGAGACCACATGTTTCATGCCCTGTTTCCAGAAAAGCCAAGGCACTTGGAAGATACAGTCTACTTCAATAAACAGCAGCCTTCCCACTACAAATAGAATTCATGGGCCAAGGAGTGAGGATGGTATGCACCCTGCTTTATTTCTTAAATTCAGAACTTACATGAAATCAGAATTAAGAGGCAAGATAGTTTTTAACCAACTAGAACGCTAATTTTCTCAGTTGCGGAATGACTGTTGACTCAACTTATCTATGTCTCTACTTCCTTTTCCTGATATGAGAGATGGTAAGTAAAAAACACCTGTTCCTTGTGAGTTATGAACGCATGTCATATGTACAACATTATGAATTATCTAATGTCACTAAACTGTACACTTAAAATGATTAAGATGGTCGACTTTATGTGTATTTTATCACAATAAAAAAACTGAAGCAATAAAACTCACAAAACGCCTGTTCAAGCATGTTTCTTTGAGTATCTGTCTGTCTGTCTGCCCATCCATCCATCCATCCATCCATCCATCCATCCATCCATCCATGTTCTAAAATAGGTGGCATTAGCCCCACCCTGATAGCTGGGGATCAGGTAATCAGGCAGGTTTGGTTCACTCCCTCTCCATCCCCAGCATCTGCAATCCCTCAGTCCCCAAGGCTGCCATTTACCTGTTGAGCAGAGGGGCACAGGTAACACTGGCTTGCATTACTGAAGAACACATTGATGAGCTTCCAGTCAAGCTGAAAATCAAGTTGCTGAAGAAAAGGGCAACAGCATGAAAAGGAGATTGTGGCAAGACCTTGAACCAAAATAATGCCTTTGTTTTCACGTCTTTCCATTTCATACATCCATCCCTGAAAAACCCATGTATGAATTTTTTTTCGATAGTAGTATATGGCAGGAGTTTAAAGTGGTATAACTGCTCTAGGTTGATAAAATATATCCAAAACTTTTTTTAAATTAAAAGACACACCTTTTGATCTAATTATTTCATTTCCCCAAAGATAGTTTAAGGAAACAAGGATACGTGAATGATTCAGCTACAATGATGAACCCTTATGCATAAGAAGGAAAAACTGGAAACAACACAAATGTCCAAAACAGGGGATTGCTGTGTAAACTGTGGAATACTCATGAGATGAAACACTATGTAGCTTTTAAAATGATGCTGAAAAATGTAATTATCATGGGAACTAATCTATTGAGAAAAGTAGGTTATAAAAAGTATCTTTGGCTGGGTGCAGTGGTTCATGCCTGTAATCCCAGCACTTTGGGAGGCCGAGGTGGGTGGATCACCTGAGGTTGGGAGTTCAAGACCAGCCTGACCAACATGGAGAAACCCCATCTCTACTAAAAATGCAAAATTAGCCGGGCATGGTAGCACATGCCTGTAATCCCAGCTACTCGGGAGGCTGAGGCAGGACAATCGCTTGAACCTGGGAAGCGGAAGTTGCGGTGAGCCGAGATTGCACCATTGCACTCCAGTCTGGACAACAAGAGCAAAACTCCATCTCATTTAAAAAAATAAAAATAAAAAAGGCATATTTATCCAGTAACATCCCTGTTTTATAAAACATATAAAGATATATATGCTAGGAAAAAATATGGAAGGTAATATATACCAAGTTATTAACCATAATTATCTTTGGGTTATCGGGATTAAGGATGGTTTTACTTTTTGCTTATCTGTGTTTTCTGATTTTTTCAGTAATGAACACGCATTTCTTGTGTAACCAGGAAACAAACTGGTTTTTTAAGAGGCAGCACGGTGTAGTTGAGGAACACTGGACTATGAAGCAGGCACTTTAGGTTTTGGCTCTAACTAGCTGTGTGAACTTGCACAGGTCACATTACTTCTGGGAACTTCAGTTTCCACATCTGGAAAATTACAGGGTTAGACGCAGGATCTCTTCTCTATTTTACAGAATAATGATTATTTCAGAAATTCTGGAATTCTCCTGTTCGGGAAAACAAACTTTATGGTGTAGCTCCTGCTCTAGTCCCTGTCCTCATATGCCTTGGAATGACCTTCACTTCACTTCCTGAACTCTTTAATGTATGCATGGCTGGCTGAAACAGCAGCTTCCCTTGGTTCCAGCAGTCCAGGCTCAGTGCTTAGATACAGTTTGCTAGCAAGGCTTGCCTTGGTTTGATACTTGCCCATAAGGGCAGTGCAAAAGATCAAAGGATGCTTATTACAAACTTACATAGGTTATTGAGTAAATAGTTTAAGAACTGTTAGGAGAATGGTACCAAGGCTCCCAGTATGTATGTGACAGAGGCCTCCACCCTAAGAACTAAAATTAATATGGTAATTATTAATAACAGCAATCACCACTACAATAACAACGCAAGCTACAGGCTTTTATATTATGTATTGAGTCTGTGCCAGGCATATCCAATATCTCATTTAATGCTCCCAAAACCCTACACTGCAGCTCTTTTATCATCCCATCTCATAAACAGGAAAACTGAGGTTTACGGAGGTAAGTGCCTTACCCAACATCATACAGTTAATAGGCAGAGAATTCAAGACTCAAACTCAAACCAGTCTCACCTGGAACTGAAGCTAGCCACCACCTCCCTTTGGGAGAAGTCGTTTAGTCTATCTGTTGACTTTCAGCAGGACCACACGGAAAACCATTCTGAACAGGATTGGTCCTTTTGGCTGAGCATTATGACTCACCCTGTAATCTCAGCACTTTAGGAGGCCGAGGCAGGCAGATTGCTTGAGCCCAGGAGTTTGAGATCAGCCTGGGCAACGTGGCAAAACCCCGTCTCTATCAAAAATATAAAAATTAGCCAGTCTCATAACTGGTCTCAAAATAAATAAATAAAGAGATGGATACAAACTAACAATGAAAAAGAATTGGTCCTTTCCTTTAATGACCACCAGAGAATGGCAAAGACATTTTTTAAAGAATCCAGGCCACACTAGCTGCTGAGTTCATGGTAAAATGGTACCAGGGCCATTATCACTTTGATCTGCCCGTCTTGCAGCAAACCCAGGCAGCCCAGCCATGCCAGAGTTGGATGGATGCTTACCAGGTTATCTTTCATGTTTCTCACCAGTTCTTGAGCCTGAATCCACAAGTCTCTGGACAGAGGGAGGGAAACAGAGAGGAAAATCAGCTAAATGTTATTTTGTCAAGGGCTGGAAGCTTGCCCCTTGCCATAGCTCAGGTGCCAGTCTCTGAGCTTGACCCACCCCTGGCTTCTGAAGAGTGGGCACTGACCTGCTTTTCAAAATGAGGTTCATCAGGCAGACTGAAATCAGCTGGAGGGGGCATTTGGGCTTTGACTTAAATACTTCTATTTTTAAGCCTCTTTGACTTTGCCAGGCCCCCAAATCTTCCCGCCTATATGTTGAGACCAGCAGGAATACATACCCCAGAGAGAGACGGAAAGGGAACTTACTCAGCACCATTGGCACCATCGTGGGGTACCACTGTCTTTCCAGTGTGGCACACGGGCATTGGAACGGAAGGATTGAAATGTCTGATGATGTCTGAAAGGACTAAAGAGAGAACTGGTTTGAGACCCTGGCCTTCACCAGCTGAAGGTCACCTCTAAAGACTGACCTACCTACTGTCGGGAGTGGTGGCTCATGCCTATAATCTCAGTACTTTGGGAGGCTGAGGCAGGAGGATCACTTGAGCCCAATAGTTTGAGACCAGTCAGGGCAACATAGCAAAATGCTGTCTCTATGAAAACAGAAATTAGCCGGGTGTGGTGGTGTTCACCTGTGGTCATAGCCACTTCGGTAGCTGAGACAGGAGGATTGCTTGAGTCCAGGAGGTCAAGACTTCAGTGAGCTGTGTTTGTGCCACTGCACTGTAGCCTGGGCAACAGAGCAAGACCCCATTTCAAAAATAATAATTAAAAAAAAAAAAAGACTGACCCCCTTCCTCTAAAGTGAGCTGCCAGGGTTGCCACCCCTATTCCAAGGCATGGTCCTTCCTCACATCCTGCCTGGGGCTGTGAGGCCACCCCTGTAGCCTCTGTGAGGCTATCTGTACCTCTGGAGCAGTCCTCTGGAAGTGAAGGAGCTAAAAATGAACATCTGTGAAGTGCTAGGCCAGGCCCAGTGCTAAGCACTTTACATGTGTTATCTCACTTAATCCTCAGTAACAAACACATGGCAATGTGATCTCCAAGTTAGAGAAAGGGAAACTGAGACAGAAAAATCAAGCGAGCTGGCCAGGGTCTCACAGCTAACCGAGGTTGCTGGGGTTTGAACCAGAGTTCTGGGACACCGAGGCTTTTCACTGTCATGTGCTACTGCCTCATTAGAGCAAGTGATGCTGGGACAGGGACTCAGGCTGCCTTCCAGCCCCCCTCCCTCCTCCTGAGAGTGACAGCAGGGTGGGAAAGCTCCAGGGAACATGCAGAGAACACGTCCCAGAGCTGACAGCCAGAGGACCGCTAAAAATAGTGCTGTCAGGAGCAGTTAAGTTGTGTCTTGCTCCTGAGAGGAAAGAGGGCAGAGTAGGGAGAGAGTGTCATGGGAGGGAGAGGCCTCCACTCCTCCACCCGACTCCCCTTTCTTTTCGCCCCATCCAGAAGCGCCTCAGGGCTTCATGGGAGCAGGATCCAGAAGGTGGCATTAAAGGGGCTCCCTGTGAAGGAGGCTGACACTGTGCAGGCAGCAGGCAGGGTGGGGGTGGGAGAACTGGCCTGGAAGTCAGGGGACTGGTCACTCAGCTTCGCAACCTTGGGCAGCCTCCTAACTCGTGTGTGATTCCGTTTTCCCCATCCTTAACCCAAAATAATGAACTTCATTCTCTAACCCCGGATTGGCTTACAAAGAAACCCATGTCCACCTGTGGTGGGAAAGCGGGGAAAGTTCTGAGCTGGGTTCAGGTTTATCGGGACAGCATGAACATGTACACGGGTGAGGGGTACTCTTGTTCCCTCATCTGAAGATAGTCTGTAGGGATCAATGACAAAACACAAATATTTGGTGGCAGGTCTGAAAGAGATTGCTTTCTGAAAGAAAGGTACCTGTGTCAGTGCTCTGTGATCAAACATGACTTTGCATCTGTAAATTTGTTGCTCATTTTGTTTTAAGTCTGCTGTACTTGGTCTGTCCTTGCTGCCTTCGAGTTCCCTGGCAGCACTAGGGTGAGAACAAAGGGCACAGCCCGTGGGGTTGGACCACCTGGGTTCACAGGGACCGTGCCACTTACTGAGCACATAGCCTCAGGAAAGTCCATTTACCTCCCTGACACTTGGCTTTCCTACCTGCAAAATGGCCACGGTGGGCGAGGGCATGGCTACGTTTGGAGATCTCAAAGGTCAGGAGGCCTCTAAAGTTCTGAGATTGATGGTCAGGTGGGCTGAGTCTGAGTCAGCCCCAACCCACGCTGCACAGCACAGGCCTGGATGTCCCTAGAGCACTTTCCTCTGGGAAGACCTGCTCCTCCTGCTGGCTCAGCCACCCAGCTGGAGCTTGTAGCTGTGGTCTCCACTCCTTCCTCCTTCCCCATTGAGTATGCTGGAGTAAGGCCTGCCTTGGAGGGCTTCAGAAGCGAGATCTGCCCTCACACCTGCTTTCTGCAGGACCTCTGACCAGCTGGGACTCCTGGCCGCTCTGCTTAGAGAGGGGCACTCAGACTTGTTGCAGGGCAAATTGGGAGGAAAAATTGAGATGAATTGAGAAACTAGGCAAAGCAGCATCTGCATTTGCGGCTTGAGGGTCTAAACTATATCCCATCTTCCCAGACACCCCTCAAACATGCCTCTTCTTTTTTCCTTAAAGACAAACAGGGCCAAGCCTAGGCACAGCTGTGATAGCCACGGAGTTGGTAGTGGGCCTCCTCTTTCAGAACCCTTTGATTCTCTCCAAGGGGATCCTCCTGCCTACTGCTTTGGCCACCAACATCCTCTCACCTCTCAATCAGATCCGGGAGGGCTGAACCGCCAAGCCCAACCTTCCCTGCTGGACCACGAGTTCTGAAGGTAGGGCCAGCATCCTGTTCATCCCTATACTTCCCAGGGAACCTAACAATTCATAGGCCCCTCCTTTCAATTCACTGGCTGAACTGACAGGGCACTAGCTGCCTCACTTGTTCGTTACTCTCCGGGAGCATCAGCTCAGCGGAGCGCTTGCATTGTAATCTATGTCTTCTCGCTCTAATATGGACGGCAAAGTGGTTCCCCTTATTCTTGATTTATGAGCACCAAGCATAGGAGACTAACATCCCACTAGGCTGACCCAGCTGCCATGAAAGGACTGAACTTCAGGATGACTTAATAGAATCATAAAGAATCTCTGATATTACATTTTTTAAAAACTAAATTATGATAGTATATTCACAAGCACATATGTCAATCAAAAGGCCAAAATGCTAACGATAATTATCTCTAGATAGGGGATTCTAGTTGACTTTTATTTTTTCATTTCGCTTGCCTGAACCCAACTGAAGTCTTGTATTTTACAAGCAAGGGAAATATTACAGGATAAAATAGACTGAAAATTCGGCTGGGTCGTCTCCTTGGGTGGGAGGAGTGAACCACGGGCATTTTCCCTGGATGAAGTTTAGCCCTGGGTCTGGGTGGGCAAGAACCTCAGGATTCTGGCCCACATACCCATTCCAGCTGGCCCCTAATCCCTCTCCTAGGTTTCCCAATCTTAACCCAATACCCACTGGCTTCTGTTTGCCCAGAGACCCTGGATACATTTCTCACACCCCCCCATTCAGGGTATGTGACTTTTCATATCCTGGCTTCCTTATCTGTCCTCTCAGAAGACCCTCTCCTTTCTCCTGGGCTCCAGTGATAAAGTGGCTGGTGGAGTCCATTCTCTTTATTAGAGAGGATGCTGCTTGTTGGGAGGGAGAGAGGCACTCTGAAATCTGGCCATGAAAACCAGAACTCACCTGTCATCACTTCCATGCACACCTGCTGTGGCCTTTCTTCAGTCCTGCAGGTCGAAGCAGACATGTGAGTGTCAGGCTGTGTTTGTCACCTGCCAACAGCCCTTCCCCTTGGTTGTGGTCTATTTCATAGCAGTCTTCGGCCTAGTCTTGCTCTGGTTTTGGGATTATCCTCCCGGGGGTTAAAGGCACACCTCAAGTGGCCACAGAGTAGCCAAAATGGGGAAAACAGCTCTCTGGACCCTCCTCCGCTCCTCCAACCTGCTCTCATCTGGCCTGAAGCTGGAAGGGGAAGTAGGCCCCAGGGTAGAATGAGACTGAGCCTGGCCCCAATCCTGCATGGTTCCCCAAGCACAGAGCAGAAAGCGCTTGTGGGGAGAAACAAGAACTCCCTCTATTAGCCTTTCCCACTTCTCCTCATTCACCCCAAGGACCCACTGGGGTTCTCAGGCAGAGGAAGGGTTGGACCAGGAGGCAGGATGCTGGCTTCTGGGAGCTTCTCTGCCACCTTCTCAGAGCGCAGCCTTGAGCAAGGCACTGAGCCTCCCTGGCCCTCAATCTTTCCCATCAATAAGGCAAGATTAGATGGGAGCATCTCCCTTTCTGGGGCTCCTTTCTGTTCTGTGTTTTCAGGATAGTTACCATTCTTGCTTCTCCAGATCACCCGTCCCTGGGTCTGGAGGCTGGAAAAGATACCCAGTGTTAACACCCAGCCAAGGGAGGTGGCAGAGCCTCTTCTAGTTAGACCCCAAGCTGCCGGTCAGAACTCCCCCTCCTACCAATAAGAGGGAACCTACAAGCCCAGGCTCCATGGCTCACGCCTGTAATCCCAACACTTTGGGCAGGAGGATCACTTGAGGTCAAGAGTTCAAGCCCAGCCTGGCCAATATGACAAAACTCCATCTCTACTAAAAAATACAAAAATTAGCCAGGTGTGGTGGCATGCGCCTGTAACCCCAGCTACTCGGGAGGCTGAATCGCTTGAACTCGGGAGGCAGAGTTTGCAGTGAACCAAGATGGCGCCATTGCACTCCAGCCTGGGCCATAGAATGAGACCCTGTCTCAAAAAGAAAAAAAAAAGAGAGAGAGAGAGAGAACCTACAGAGAAAGATGAAGCTCCTTCTGTAGGGAGGAAAAATGCTTGGCTCCCTCTGCAGCATGTTTGTCAGACCTTGGAGCGGTAGAAGGTGTGAAAGGTTTTCCTCTGCTTAGATTTCAATGCCCCCTAAAGTCATTAACTGTCTCCATAGAAACAAAGGATAGTTTTATTATGATCCTCCAAAATCTAGAGTTTATGTAACTCTCCCCCAACTGGACATAAGAGCCGTGAAGGCAGGAATGTGTCCATTTTGTACTTGACTATGATGCTTGGACCTACAATAGTGCCTGGGCATGTTGTAAGTATTCAACAAATATATGTTGAATCCATATGTTTGGAATGAACAAGATAAGTTTCCGATTTCCCCCTTGGTAAAATGCTGGGCAACACAGGACTTGAGCCCTCTGCTGAAGTTCCTAAGTCTAGGAGGAGATTTGAGACCGCGGTAACTCGCCTGGGAATCAAGGCCTTTCGCAAGCTCCCAGAAAGCTTGGCATCGTGCCCAGGACACATAAAACACTCACAAATCTTAGCTCTTCTTGGTTGTATTACTTTCAGTTTCTGATGTGCATTTTCTCTCTCAAAATTCCTAGAAGACAGTATCTCTGGGTGTGGTGGTGACAGGCAGACAGCTACACCGCATCACCTACTCCAGCCTGCACCACTTCCCTCTAAATGGTCCATCTGTCCTGACCACCCAGCCACACCGAGCACCCGCCTATAGACCTGGGTCAGGTCTCTGCAGCTCTCCAGGCAGGGCAGGCTGACAGGGAAATCTCACCAATTGGAGACAGCGTCCTTTGCTCGTCATTAAGACAGAGAAGCTAAATCTCCCAAGGAGACAAACAAAAATCACACTAAGATGGAAGTCAGGGATTATTTAAAAAGACACCCGACAGGTTAGGTAATGAGGGGAGCAGGCCTCCTGGGGCTGTGGCAAACTGGACAGCCTGAGCCCAAGCAAAGGGGGCACCCCCCAACAAGAGTCATTTTTCAAGAGGAGCTGGAAATGTGAATATTTATTTGAAGTCTGATTTCAATGTTGGCAGCTGATTCCATTAAAGACAAAGAATCACTTAGGACCATCAGTTTGTTTCTGGTAATTAATTGATAGATCACCCCTCCCACCTAGATGAACTTGATTGGAGGAGAGGGTGGTAAAGAGAGATGTTGGGAGGAAAGAGGAGAGAATAAGAGGAAAGAGGCCAGGAGAGGGGGTTGGGGGAAAGGCTCAGAGGGCAGCCACAGAGAGGTGAGGCTGCGGCTAACCCAGCAAACTCCACGTCCCCATTGTGCCCACTCCCAGCACCTTCCCTTCACACTGTTTGTTTGCTGAATGCCTGCCTTATGGCAGTTACTGTGACCGTCGGGCTGCAAAGCTAAGTAACACACAGGTTCTACCCTCAAGGAATTTGATAGAGTGAATTGTAACCTCCTTGGCAATATAGGATATTGCAGTATGATCCGATTTAGGTTTTATATATACCCTGTTTCCCTACGTATTGCTGTACGTTGGAGAATGAATGAGAATGTATATATGTGTGTGCACGAGTGTGTGTTTGAGGTAGAGGAATTAAAGATGTGAACAGGGTCTTCTACTGTGCGTACATCTGTTTTGTTTTTTCTTATATTGAACATGTGTCACAAGTGTTATTACAGAACTTCTACAAACATTTACGTAACTGATTTTTGAAGTTCTACAAGGAAAAGGGGGTCTATAGCAATTAAGCAAGTGCTAGTCGTAGTCCCAAAGAAGGGCTTATACCTTGGTTACAGAACGCTCCAGGCACTCAAAGCAGAGATGTCAGCACTATGGATTTTTTTCTTTTTAAATTCACTGTCTTCCATTATTTTGCCCTGGTTTAGCTTTTAAAATACACATCCCAGGTAAGTTCGCGATGGCCATCGCTCCCTCAGGACAGACAAAGGAAAAAGGCTTGCAAGGAATTGTGCTTTCAGGTTTTATCCTGAAGGTGGAGGCACCCGTCAGTGCACAGACAATGATCCTGGGGCTGGGAGATCATCCTGATGGAGCCGTGCTCCCGAGAAGCGAGAGCAGAGTGACAGCAGGAACTGCCAGCCCTGAATAATTCATGGACAAAGAGCTCTTTCCGAGATGAGACCAAGGGGTGCACGGGCTGATGGGCTTAAAGTTAGAGATCGGGGCTGGGTGGAGATTTCCCTGCGCCGGGCAGAAGGACCCGAGAGTCCTGTGGCAAGTGTGTTCCATATCCGGGGCTCTGGCATGTAAATATCAGTGTGTGCAGACACACAGGTGTAGCAGTCAGCCTGCTATCTAGTACACGGAACCTCTTTTCTCACTTATTTCCATGTCTGATTTCACCTCTTTTATCAAGGGTAACCCTCCACCCTCACCCTGACCAACACCACAGTCACAAGTGCAATTTAAAAACCACCAGCATCGATAAAAAAGAATGCGCGTGGGGAGCTCTGCCTGCTTCCAGTGGGCCCATGGTTGGTTTCCTAAGGTTCAGTCTATACCTCTACACACCACCATCTCCTCACCCTTCTTCCTGCTATGCCCATTCCCCCCTATTTACAACTGTGATCAGGGAAAGGTTCTGGGTCTGGCCAGCTTTATCCAGTGCTCAAGCAGAGGTAGCATCGATGAATGTGGTGAGGCCAGCACTGTCTAGGCAGGGAGTCCAAGGCAAGTTCCAGAGAGATAGCAACTGGTTATTTGAGAAGAAGGGAAGGTGGAAGACAGGTCCAGGGTCTCTGGGAACATTGAGTGGATGGGCATTGTGCATGGAGTGGTGGGCTGGGGTTTGCAGCTGCAAGGGGAAGGGCCGGAGGTTGCAGGGAGCGCAGGCTGCTGCAGGGATAGTGGAGTACGCTGGGAAGGAATCATGGGAGGGGGAGTGAGGAAGGGGACTCTGGGGGAGCAAGGAGAGTATCCTGGTTCAGGCGTGGGAGGCGCAGTAGGGCTCTGGGCAGGGTGGAGACTGATAAGGAAGTGCTCTGTCCAGCTGGGGCTGCCAAGATTGAGGGCAGTAAGGCTGTGGAGCTTTGCTAAGACCAGGAGAGGGGCTGTGGGGCAATGTTGACATTCTCCTCTGCTCTCCAACCTTCTTCTCTCCAGATCCCTCTTTCTCTGTTCATCCCTTTCTCTTTTTGTCTATTTCTTTTTCTTTCTCCCTTATTTGACCATATAAAATATACCACTTAGAATTTATTAACAACAAACATATGAAAAGATGCTCAACATACTAATCATCAGGGAAATGCAAATCCAAACCACCATGAGACATCACCTCATACCCATTAGGATGCCTACTATTAAAAACCAACCAACCACAACCAACTAACCCCAGAAAATAGGCATTGGTGAGGATGTGGAGAAATGAGAACCCTTGTGCACAGTTGCTGGGAATGCAAAATAGTGCAGTCACTATGGAAAATAGTGTGGTGATTTCTCAAAAAGTTTAAAAAATAGAATTACTGTATGGTCCAGCAATCCCACATCTGGATGTATATATCCAAAAGAAGTGAAAGCAGGGACTCGCACAGATATTTGTACACACAAGTTCACAGCAGCATTGTTTGCAATAGCCAAGAGGTGAAAGCAACCCAAGGGTCCTCTGACAGATGAACGAATAAATGAAATCCGATACAGATGTACACGGAAACATCATTCATCCTTAAGAAAGGAAGGGAAATCTGGCATATGGATGAACCCTGAGGACATTATGCTAAGTGAAGCCAGTGACAAAAAGACAAATACTGTATGATTTCACTTATATGAAACATAAGTATATGATTTCTTTTTTTTTTTTTTTTTAGATGGAGTTTTGCTCTTGTTGCCCAGGCTGGAGTGCAATGGTGTGATCTCAGCTCACTGCAACCTCTGCCTCCTGGATTTAAGTAATTCTCCTGGCTCAGCCTCCCAAGTAGCTGGGATTACAGGTGCCCAACACCATGCCTGGCTAATTTTTTTGTATTTTTAGTAAAGATGGGGTTTCATCATGTTGACCAGGCTAGTTCCAAACTCCTGACCTCAAGTGATTTGCTCACTTCAGCCTCCCAAAGTTCTGGGATTACACGTATGAGCCACCACACCTGGCCAATTTCACTTATATGAGGTACCTAGAGCTGCCAAAACAGAGAAGGAAAGTAGAATAGTAGTTGCCAGGGGCTCTGAGAAGAGGAGAATGAGATGTTATTTCATGGGTAGAATGTTTCACTTTCACAAAATGAAAAAGTTCTGGGAATCAGTTGTACAATAACGTGAATATATTTAACACTAGTGAACTATACACTTACAGATAGTAAATTTTGTGTTCTATGTATTTACCACAATTGCAAACAAAATTTACAAAGTTATTTACAAAAATCAGTGTATTTTTAAAAATTTACAAAGCAGGTAAGAAAATTTCTTTAAAAATTTAAAAGATTACTTTTAAAATTCTGTGTGATCTTTGATTTAATGTATTAATGGATTTAATTTATTAATGGGAAACTCCAAAAGTTTCCTCACCTTGATGTAAAGAGAGGCATTCCTTTGATTGTAAAAAAAATAAAAAGATTCTGCTGGGCGTGGTGGCGCATGCCTATAATCCCAGCTACTCGGGAGGCTGAGGCAGGAGAATCACTTGAACCCGGTAGACAGAGGTTGTGGTCAGCCAAAGTTGCGCCATTACACTCCAGCCTGGGCGACAGAGTGAGACTCTGTCTCAAAAAAAATAATAAAAAATAAAATAGAATAAAATAAAGTAAAAAATAAAGATTCAACCTCCTGGATTTATCCAGTTCACATGTACTCTTCCAAAATGAAACGTTCTGCCCAGTTACCAGGAGCCCATTCAGAGGATCATCAGTACCAAACTCTGTCTCCTGCCCCAAGCTACTTCAAATACTCACAATCTCCAGATTGCCAATGGCTGCCACAAATTTAATATCAGAAGGCTTCAGAGAGTGAACTGTGGAGACAAGAACCCATATAGGAAGGTTAGATCTACATTCCCCATGATGTCGGCCAAGGATACCATATGGGAGAGGAGACTCACATCCCCCAGCCCTGGACAGCTGCGGAGGTCCAGTCTGTTGGCCACGGAAGTGGAATGCCAAAGACCACGCAGTGCCTGGGAACCCTAGGAATCCTGCCAGAAAGACACTTGCTCCTTTCTGGGAGCCACCCTGTTAACTGGACTTGAGCTGTCCAAACAGGTGACCCATGGAAAGTCACTCATGGCCCTCATTTTCCCCTCACCTGGACCCCATTCTGCCTCTCACTTCCTTCTGTGCCATAGCCCTGCATTTCTGGGTCACCATGAATGAGAGGACAAGACATTAAGATTAAAACCACCTGGTTACCAAAAGGATCACTTTAGCTTGAAGATTACCAGAGAATAGCATTCAAAGCCTATGAACACATATCCACACCAGATGCAAGCTGTATGCAAATGCCATACAAGGAAGTCTCCTGGACCCACTTAAGTCACTGGCATTTTTAGCAATTAAGTCTCCCTGATCAGAAATCACTGATCATAATCCCTGGTCATGTTATCGATCATTTACATGTAAGCCACCTAAAGATGACATTTCCTTAAAAGTGCATCAATTTCTTTTTCAACCTGAAGTCCTTATATAACAGTAAGAATAGCATGCTTAAATGGAAACCCCAGTAAAGGCAGAATAGTACAAACATAAATCTATTAAATATGATCTGTAATGCAGCCTCTCAATGTGATAAAGCCAGGGAAGAAGGCCCACTCAAGAGAATTCATAGCATCCGGGTCATTAGACAAACCAGCCCATTGCGGGGGAAAAAGCTCCAGAGCTGCCACTGGGCTACATTACAAGAATAGAGAAGCCACATGAGTGGCCAAGCTGTAACTCAGAGTTCCCACAACACCATCCACCCACAGGAAGGCAAGATCCTGGAGATTACCCTCATCCAAGCAAGCCACCGTGGAATTATGACAGATGACTGGGAACTCATCTGTCACACAGGGATTGAGGATAAGGAAGAGGGGGACTCGAAGGGCCAACAGGTACAAGAGGAATAGGGTTAGAGCCTCTGCTGGCCACTTCAGAGAGAAGATGCCAGGCTTGTCCTGCTTATGGCCAAGGGTCACATACCTGATTCAGAAGGCATATTCACTCCTAATTTATTTGGGTTGCATGGGAATGGAGAATTCTTCAGGGTCTGCAACTGAAAACAAACATCAGAAACATCAACTGCCTTGTATAGAAATATTGCAGATCCTGAAAACTTGGTATAGAAATGATCATGTGCTCATTCTATCTGGGCTCAAAATCTAGAAACAACAATTGTCCATAGTCATTTTCTCCTAACCCCATACCCAGTTCATCTGGTAAAAGGGGACATAACTCTATTGACAATGACTTTAACAGGTGGCAAGAATGTCTCAGAACACTGGAGTAGAGAGGGAAGAAAGATGATGAAGAAGAATGAGAAAGTTCTGGAAATGGGGCTGGGCACAGAGGCTGAGGCAGGAGGATCACTTGAGATCAGGAGTTTGAGACCAGCCTGGCTAACATGGTGAAATCTTGTCTCTACTAAAAATACAAAATACAAAAATTAGTGGTGGTGTGTGCCTATAATCCCAGTTACTTGGAAGGCTGAGGCACAAGAATCGCTTGAACCCGGGAGGCGAAGGTTGCCATGAGCTGAGATCATGCCACTGCCCTCTAGCCTGGGCAACAAACAGAGCAAGTCTCTGTCTCAAAAAAAAAAAAAAAAAAAAA